TCCACAGCATAAAAGTCACATTTTCACAGATTCTCAAAATAGCAAAATATTATTCATTTCTATTTCAGATATTTTTCTTTCTGGAATAAAAATAAGAAGCAGATTTTGAATTTTGAGAATCATAATTTATAAGCTTTCTCTGATAATGTGCAAATATTAATGAGATAGATTTTAAATAAATGATTCTAATTCAAATAAAATGTTAAGCCACATACTAAAAATTATCTTTCTTATATAATTAAGTTCATTTGTTTTTCCTTTCCTCCTCTATATCCCTCTGCCAACCCTGTAACAATCTGTAACCCTTCCATCCAAATCCTGCATACATAATTATAATTCTCCTGGGGATTTGAAGTAAAATTTAAATGATTTAGAAAGAGATGGTCCTAGATTAATAACTCCTACCCTGTGTTTCTAAAAATCAATAAACACAGAAGAGGAAAGACAAAATGTAAACCCAGCTAAACATATGTCTTAGGAGCTGGATCTATTGTTAGTGAAGAAAGACCATTTTATACTCTCTCAAGGGTACAATACTGCCAGAAATTCAAGCATGATTCAGAAAAGGATATAGAATGGAAGATACCATTACTGATGTCAGATCGATCTCGGCTGAAAGTAGAGAATACCAGAAAGATGTTTACCTGTGTTTTATTGACTATGCAAAGGCATTCGATTATGTGGATCATACCAAACTACGTATAACATTGCAAAGAATGGGAATTCCAAAACATTTCATTGTGCTCATGTAGTACCTGTACGTAGACCAAGAGGCAGTCATTTGAACAGAACAAGGGGATACTACATGGTTTAAAATTTGGAAAGGTGTGTGTCAGGGTCGTATTCTTTCACTATGTTATTCAATCTGTATGCTGAGAAAATAATCCAAGAAGCTGGACTATATGAAGAAGAATGCGACATCAGGACCGGAGGAAGACTTATTAACAACCTGTGATGTGTAGATGACAGAAACTTGCTTGCTGAAAGTGAAGAGGACTTGAAGCACATACTGATGAAGATCAGAGAGTACAGCCTTCAGTATGGATTACATCTCAATATAAAGAAAACAAAAATCCTCACAACTGGACCAATAAGCAGCATCATGATAAGTGGGGAAAATATTGAAGTTGGCAAGAACTTCATTTTACTTGGATCCACAATCAATACCGAAGGAGGCAGCAGTCAGGAAATCAAACGACATATTGCACGGGCAAATCGGCTGCAAAAGATCTCTTGAAGTGTTCAAAAGCAAAGATGTCACTTTGAGGACTAAGGTGCACCTGACCCAGGCCATGGTATTTTCAATCACCTCATATGCATGTGAAAGTTGGACAATGATTAAGGAAGACCAAAGAAGAACTGATGCATTTGAATTATGGTGTTGGTGACGAATAGTGAATTACCATGAACTACCAGAAGAATGAACAAATCTGTTTTGGAAAAAATACAGCCAGAATGCTCCTTAGAAGCGAGGACGGCGAAACTTCATCTCACATACTTTGAACATGTTATCAGAAGGGACCAGTCCCTGAAGAAGGGCAACATGCTTGTTAAAGCAGAGCGTCAGTGAAAAAGAGGAAGACCTTCAATGACATGGATTGAAACAGTGGCTGCAACAATGGGCTCAAACATAGCAATGATTGTGAGGATGACGCAGGACCAGGCAGTGTTTTGTTCTGTTGAACATAGAGTCACTGTGAGTCAGAACTGACTTGAGAGAACCTAACATCAACAACAAAAGTTACCATATAATTGCCAAGGCATTTAGAAGCTGGCTGTTTCAGCCATTCCAATAAATCTGTTCACATTAAGTAATTATAGGGTAGGAACTAAACAGTAAGAAGACATTAAAGAATAGAAAATATTACGTATGCATCGTGAACTTAATTTGGAATTCTTTGTATTTCATGAAAAGTGGGACGGTCAAAAAAGGTGGAGGTGTAAGAACTGAAAGAATTTCAAATTGGAAGAAGACATGAACTGCAATTATAGTCACAGGCCTATTTAGGAAAACATCTTGAAGCCATCTTTCAGTGTTAAAAAGGGGGTATTTGTTATCTATATTTTTTTATCTTTCCATTAATTAGTTATGCTTCAGAAGTTATTCATTAAACTCCCTAACACTTCTGACACACAAAGAACTATGTACCTACCAAGAGATTGTTCAGAGGCAAAGATCCAAAGGAATGAAACTACACCTATTTTTGGACTTAGAGATTTTAATTAATTTTAAAATGACCTCCCTTCTCCACCTTTCAACTGGCAAATGAATCAGTACAAGGGATAGCAAGACCTGCTCATTTCTGCTATAAGATCAACTTGGATAAATCCCCATTCTCCCAAGGTGTCTTCAGATATGAGGGTGGAAGGGATGCCATTCTATCTGACCCTTACAAAAGACTCAAGCCAAAAATCATTAAAACATAACAAAATACACATTTCAATGCTAAAAGCCACAACTCACAATGAAGGTATAACAATTCTGAGTATCTCTGCCCCAAATCACACAGCAACAACCTTGATAAAGCACAAACCACAGAAGACACAAATAAAACACATTAATAATAAAATATTTTAAATGCCACCATCAGTAAAAGATAGACCAAGTGGACCAAAAAAAAAAAAGTAAGGATATAGAAGACCTATCAACTTACTCAGTAAGGTAGAAATTAAGGAAATACATCACGCTTTGTATACTGATAATTTTTGCAGCTTTTTTTCTTTAAGTTTGTAATGATTTCAAAATTATGTTACCAAAAATGAGAAAAGTAGGGAAAAAAAAGCACAAGAAAAGAATGCTAGGTCTGATGCTGGCGAGTCACTACTTTCCTCCCCCTTTCCTAAAATAGTGTCAAAGTATCTTAGGTATTAAACAAAACCCCTAATTTGGTTGGCTTTTGGTTAAACTAATCTTTTTTAGAGACCCTTGGAAACAGGGAAAGACAAGTTGCCAGAGAGGTATCCATATGATTTTACTCATTAAGCAGAAAGATTAAAAGCCTCTGAACCCCAAGATTTTGGAGGAGGGCAAACTAAAAGCACACACTCAAAGAAATAAAATGTGACAGATTTATGATGAGACTGGTCCAATACCCAGGGGGCCCTGTGTTCATTTTTACTGTGTCATTGCACAAAACCAGCTACCATTTTATTTTAAAATGAAAAGAAAATGTATTTTGTCTGTTTCATGGCGCAAATGATTTCAGCTTAGCCGACCCAGCCCAGAGGCAATGAACTCAGGGCTTTCTCCCCACCTTCTTTTAGAAAAGGAGTTACCAAGGTGAAGCTGAAACGAGGAAAATGGGGCAAAGCAAATGACGATGAGTCTACAGCTGAGGGAATTTATCGTGACAGTACTCATTTTACTGGAATATATGTGAGGCTTGCTCTCCCACCCACCATCAACCGGAACATGCAGGAAAAGAAAACACACCTCTTTGGGGCTTGTGTTTTATCCTCTTCTTTAAGCAAACAAGAATGACTGTAGTGTGCATATGCTCTATTTTATCACAAAGGGTTGTTCTTGTGAAATGTACACTTTTTATAACAGATTTATATATAATCCCTTTATACTCCAGTAAATAAAGCAGAAAAGCACTAAGAAGCATTAAGCATACCCGGAGTGCTGACTCTAAAGTGCTGTATGGTTTTTCTTGCAATAAAATAAAAATAAAAATAGTTCCTAGAAGAAACAACCATAACTGTAATATTATTTATAAACAGTTAAGCAAAGTTTCACAACGATGCTGTTCAGCCATCTGCAACCCTGAACCAATTTCTGTAATTCTTACAAGTTTTACAGAAACTGTTTTCCTATGAAGGCTCATTTCTTCTCAATTCTGTCTTTTTCAAATAATTGAAAATTGAAATCAGTCCTTCATTTTTGTGCTGGATTTTGCTTTTGCTGTTTCTAAAATACATCAATCAATCTTTTACTTATGAGAATAAGTGGCGTTCAAGCTAAGGTAGGCTGACCACGGTAGCTAAAAATCCAATACTTTAAAAATTGAGTTCATTTTTCATGAGACACAAGTCCTGAAAAATGTGATCAAAATGGAGTTGCAGTTCTAACTTATTTTACTTGAGAAAAAACAAGAAATAATCCTCCTCTGACCTCATTATTGCTTCCTTTTTATATCTGTGTGGACTTCACGAACCTGCTGTAGATATCCGAGCAGAAAATGATCTAATAGGTCACTTCACAATTTTTTTTTTTTTTAACCAAGAATTACATCTTACACTGTCCCTAAACATGTAAAATGTTGTATTTTGTCACTTACATGCACTGTCACTGCCTTTCTTTTTGTTAGAATAACTATCGACAGATAGCCAAAATATCTCAATTCTGGAATGAATGTATTATTGCCAAATAATTTTCCTGGCTTCTGAACGTAGATGGATAGAACCAGATTTAAAAACATAAAGTTAATTTACTTACATGGTGATCATTCCAGTATAATGAGTCATATCCATTTACCTCTTCATCACTTTGAGCTCACTACTTAGGTCCACTATGAGGAGGGAGTAAGATGACCTACATTCAAGACCTAACTCATTTACTAACTAGCTGGGCAAGTCACTAAACTTGTCTAGGCCTCGCTTTGTTAACCTCCAAAGGACAGGGCTGAATCAGACAGGTTCTATTGCCCTTCTAACACTCCATATCGATAACCTGACAATCACTTCACACACTTTTTTCACTCTTACCAACACAGAGGTACAAGGCACCTTAGGCTATGATCAGCTCTAGTCTAAAAGATACTGGCCTACCATTTCCAAAAACATTTTAATCAAACCCTCAACCAGCCCATTAGGCTGTGACCGGTACTAATGTTCTTTGCTGAAACAGCTTTACTAGTCTTCATTAAGATTCATCATCTCATTAGTGACTCAGTTTTTAAAGTCACCAGACAAAGGAAATTTCTCATAAGGAACCGGAGAAGCACAAAATCTCTAAAACTGTTACACGTTTGCTACTACATTAGGAAAGTTCACAGTACCTAAAATAGCCACCACCTCATCATCCTGGATGACTTCCAAGGATCCCGACACCACAAAGCAGAGGGCATCCACACTTTCTCCGGCATGGTAAATGAGGTCCCCGGGAGCACAGTGAATGGTTTGGAACTCTACCGCCAAGGCGCGCAGACACCCATCGCTGGCCAATCGAAAAGCAGGATGTTCATTAAAAACCTTCCGGTTTAGATGAACACAGATATCAGCTCTCATGTCCTTGGGACAGATGGAGAGGACCTAAAGAAAGTGAGAAATGAATAAATGAGAAGGAAAGAGAAAGGGGCCATTTCAGAAAGAGCCATCCAACAAGTATTTCTTGACAATGGCTGTGTCTGCTATACACTGTCGTAGATAGGAGAAGGCAAAGTTAACAAGACACAGCTCTGTTCTCAAGTCTCTAACAATCTAGTGAGAAGGGCTGATGAGCATATGGACAATACAGCACTGTATTGTAAATGCTTGTAGAGTGGTATGGGTCTCCTATAGAAAGAGCACAGTCTTGAGGTGGTCAGGAAAAGAGTTCCAGAAAAAAGTTAATATCATTTCATCGAAGAGCCAGCTAAAATGGGGAATTAACATTCATTTTATTTGAGGCAACATTACAGACATTTTTCATAACTAAATCAAAATTCAGAATTATGGACTTTACTCCACATTGGAGGTGGATTC